ACGTTACATCTGCTTGGTATTTTAATGGATCTGTATATGCAAAAGTGAAGGACAAACGTGTGAAATTCGACATCCTTAACGATATTGACCATAAGGTGAAAAAAATCCGGGATTAAAAACTCTTACCATGTCCTCTCCGCCATTAGCTATCAGAATGAGATTCCGGTCATAACTTGCGTTACAAATACTATTCGAAATTCAAAACAGTGACTCACAACACAGCTATCACGGTAGTCAGCTTGGTTAACATTTGAACTTCTTTTTGGCTGCAATAATCCAATTTATCTGTTATTGTTATATTGTAGCTCTTACTTTCCTCTTTCTTCATTTCTTTCTTTCATCATGAGTTCCGACTGTTCGTGTCCATTGGTCCGGTGGGTATCGACTTGTAAACGTTTTTCAAATGGTTAAAATTATTTCAGTAAACTGTCAAGGTTTAGGTGATATTGCAAAGTGCAAGGATGTTTTTAATTACTTAAGGGCCTTAAATTATAACATTTACTGTTTACAAGATACACATTTTTCATGTGATATTGAAAACGAAGTAAGAAATTTATGGGGTTACCAATGCTTTTTCAGCTCATACTCTACAAACTCTAAGAGAGTGGCAATTACAGTTAACAACAACTTTGATTTTAAACCTCTAACAGGAAAGGGCGACCTTGATGGGAACTTTATTTTACTTAAAGCATGTGTAGAGGGCCATGAAGTATTAATATGCAACATTTATGGTCCAAATAATGATACACCACTTTTCTTTGAAAATGTACAAAAATGCATTGATGATATGCAGTGTAGAAATATTATTTTGTGTGGTGATTTCAATTTAGTTTTGAATCCAGACTTGGACTATTATAATTGTAAATCTGTCAATAATCCAAAGGCAAGAGAAAAAGTTTTGGAAATAATAGGAAATAATTGTTATATTGACCCTTTCAGACAGCTGCACGAAAAAGAGCGTCGATATTCATGGAGAAGAAAAACTCCATTGAAGCAAAGCCGTTTAGATTTCTTTTTAATATCTGAAACCCTTTTGTCAGGATTGGAAAAATGCTCTATAGATACTAGTTATAGATCAGACCACTCCATAATATCCTTGTCTATAGCTTTTAATGAATTTAAGAAAGGTAGGGGGTTATGGAAGTTTAATAACTCTCTACTTCATGATGAAAATTAATTAGATTGTATTAAAATGTAATTTTAGAGGTTAAGAAACAGTATGCAATCCCAGTATATAACTTTGACAACATAGATAATATTCCAGATGCCAATTTTTATTTCACTGATAATGATCAGCTATTTTTAGAAACTCTGCTTTTAGAGATAAGAGGTAAAACTATTTCATATGCATCATATACCAAACAGAAAAGAGAAAACAAAGAGAAATATTTAATAGAAAGTATCAAATTGTTAGAAGAAAATGTTTGTGAAAGTAATATTGATGAATTATATAGTAAAAAGCAAGAATTGGAGAACATTAGAAAGCATAAATCGCAAGGTACTTATATCAGGAGTAGAGCGGAATGGGTTGAAGAAGGCGAAAAACCATCACACTATTTTTGTGCATTTGAATCTAGAAATTTTAGTAGTAAGATTATACCTAGATTGGAGGATAATAATGGTAATACTATTTATGACCAATCAGAAATCTTAAATGAAACAAAATTATTTTATTAACAACTATATAAAACTAGTACAGTAAACCCAAATACTCATTTATTCAATGAGTTAAATAATGAAGAAATACAAAAGCTTTCCAGTAAGGAGACAGAATCTATAGAATGTGAAATTACTCTGGAAGAAACCTCAGAAACACTCTACAAAATGAAACCTAATAAATCTCCAGGGTCAGATGGTTTTCTGCTGATTTTTTAAAGATGTTTTGGAAATATATTGGTCCCTTTGTAGTTAGATCTATAAATTACAGTTATAGGAGTGGAAGTCTCTCTATTACACAAAGACATAGCATTATTACACTTTTACCAAAAGGTGATAAGCCTAGACAATACTTATAGAATTGGAGACCAATAACTTTGTTAAATACTATCTATAAAAATGAATCAAGCACTATAGCAAATAGAGTAAAAAGATATCTTGACAAAATTATTAACAAAGATCAAACAGGTTTCATCTCTAATAGATATATAGGTGAAAATGCAAGGTTAATTTATGATATAATACATTTTACGGAAGAAGACAATATACCTGGGTTATTATTACTTATTGATTTTGAAAAAGCATTTGATACTTTGTCCTGAAATTTTATTCAAGGAGCACTTAATTTTTTTAACTTTGGCCCCTCAATTAGGAATTGGGTGTCACTTTTTAATACGGACATTACATCTGCAATAAATCAAGGTGGTAATCTCTCTGATAGAATTAACATTCAGCGGGGTTGCAGACAAGGGGACCCATTGTCCCCTTATATATTCATTATATGTGCAGAAATACTACCAATCCAAATAAGATTAAACAAAAATATTAAAGGAATAACTGTGAACAATATTTAAAAAAAGATTTCTCAATTAGCTGGTGACACTTCTCTTATTCTTGATGGTAGTAAAGAAACAATTACGGAAACATTAAGAACACTAAAGAGTTTTTCAGAAATGTCTGGGTTACACATTAATTATGCCAAAACTCATATAGTATTGATAGGCTCCAAAAAGTATAGCAATGAAATATTACTGCCAGATTACAATCTAAACTGGGGAACTACTAGATTTACTCTTCTAGGAATACATTTTGATGTGGAATTGGATAAGTTACTACATTAAAATTACGATCCCAAGCCAGTACAGATTAAATCAATGCTTAAACAATGGGAGAAAAGGTACCTAACTCCAATAGGGAAAATTACAGTCATTAAGACATTAGTTTTACCTGTATAAAATCACATTTTAATGTCAATACCAAAATCCCACTTAATCATACTGCAGAGAATTACCGGTAGACAAAATCTTCTTCTCATTTCTATGGAATAATTCAATTCATAGGGTTAAAAAAGAAGTTATTATTAAAAATTATGAAGATAGGGGATTGAAAATGTTAAACCTAAAGTCTTTTATATCTTCTATGAAATTATTTTGGATAAGACAGCTCATTTTTACAAATAGGAGTATGGAACATCTCATTCCAAATTTCAACTTAGACAAATTTATAAACTATGAAACTGATTATGTCACAACCTATCTGAAGACTTTGAAATATAAATTTTGGATAGACGTTTTCAAATCCTGGATAATACTACAAAATCATGAGATAGTATCTGAGGTTGCTGGTGACTCACCTTTGTTTTACAACCCAATGATTCGTATTGGGGGGAAACCCTTTTATAATAAACAAATGTTTAACAACAACATTAGAAGAGTTAATGATATCATTAATGAAGATGGTTCTTTTCTAAGTTTTGAATCTTTTTGTAATACCTATCCCATGATTAAGATAATTTTTTTAGAATATAGTAGTATTATTCATGCTATTAAGTCTTGCATAAAAATTCTGGCCTTGACATACCTATTAAAAAGCTAGAAACCCATTAGTTATGAGAAATATCTACAAGGTGATGAAATGTCACGAATCCAAATGTTTTTTATGAAATTCTTAACTATAACTCCTCTGTGTCAACAGGTAAAACAAAGTGGAGTGAGATTTTACAGATTGACAATAATGAATGGAAAAATTCCACAAAATACCCTTCAGAGTGACAAAAGACTGTAAACTCCAATGGTTTCAATATAGCAACAAATTCATTTTATTCAAAATTAACAAAAATGACTCTAAATACTGCAATTTTTGCCACTCAGAAGAAGAAACAATAGAACACCTTTTATGGGAATGTGATTATACACAATTATTTCTAGAAGAATTTTGTACTTTTTCTTATAATAAGACCGGTCTAGTCATCAATATTACGAAAAGATCTTTTATTTTAGGTTACATTGAGAATTATACTGATATTCAAAATACTAATATCCTTTGGCTGAAATATTATGTTTACACATCAAGATGTACTAAGAAATCTTTGAATTTATGTGCTGCAATATCACAAATGAATCTATATTATGAAACACACAAATTTATTTCTTATAGAAATAATGGAAAAGAAAAATTTGATGCCCAGTGGAACAGATGGAACCAACTTTTCTATTAAACTCTCTCTCTCACTCTTCTCTCTCTTTCTCCTCTCTTTCTTTCGCTTCCCTCTTTTCCTGTTCCTATCTCTTTCTATCAAAAACAATATACATCATGTATTAATTCAAACTGTGATATTGTAAAAAGAGATGTGAATAAAAAAAGATAATAAAGCAATAAGCAAATATATGTACAAGTACATTTATTAATTTTTTTTTCTTAGTTTTATCCAGCAAAAAGAAGTTTTGGCAAACATAAAATTAAACATATTACCCTGATTTAAGCCGCTTTCTTTGCATAATTTTGTCTTATCTTTTTGCACTTATATATCAGCATATCATCGAAGTATTGAAATTGCTATCAATTATCAAGCAAAGGAAGAAAATTCCAATATTAACAAACTCCATAAATCCAATAAAACTGTTATTAATGATGAATAATTTTTCTTTTTTGTAAATTGTGTACGATATTGATTATTAACAATGTTATGCCTATATCACAGTTGCGAAAGTCAACAGGTTAAAACAAACGTCGCTATTGTGACGTCACATAACGCTGCTTTGACGTTGAACGACATAGGTCCCCCCTTTACTAATTATAATCAATGAGATTGTGTTTTCTAATCCTGTATCTTTAATCATTCTCCATCAATATACGTACTAGTATATGCACATGTTTGTTTCGGTTCTATGCACAGGGAAGTATTTATCATTGGTATTTAAATTTTTATCAGTAGTTGTAAACTAGGTGCGCATTTATGAACTTATTAATGACATTAAATGTTAATGACAGGAGCGGTATTTCATGCTTGTTTGTGACCTTGTTTCCGTCGAAAGGAGAAACAAAGCTCTAACTATTCCCGCACAATGGCAACTTCCTGTGGAGAAATTCCTGATGAAGATTTAACTATGTGCTCAATTTGTGTCGAGAAATTTAAAACACCGCGATGTTTGCCGTGTATGCATTCCTTTTGTCACAAATGTTTGACTTCCTACATTGAGAGCAGTTGTTTATCTATGGCGCCTCGTTTGGGATTTAATTGTCCTTTGTGTCGTGAGTATGTTCCAAATAATGGCGCATTTGATAACCCAGAGGAGTGGGCAAAGAATTTTCCCTTGAATGACGTTTTAGAAAGCCTTTTAGTGAAATCAAAGGAGCAGCTCTGTGCTGCTTGTTTACGAGATAACGAAACTGAATCTGCCACTGGATTTTGTCTATCTTGTCTGGAATATTTATGCACAATGTGCACAAAATATCACAGAAAACATTTGCTCTCTAGAGATCATACTGTATGTCAGAAGGACGATATACAATTGACAAAAATGCATATATTTGGAAAATATTTCAGATGTACTGAGCACAGTAAAAAAATAAGTTTATTTTGTAACGACCATGAACAACCATGTTGTTTAATATGTACTGGAACGTGCGGAACAAAGCATAGGGAATGCAAAAGTATTGATTCTATTGAGGAAGCTGCTTTGAAAGTTAAAAATAGCGGAAAATTGGAATCTTTGATAAAAGAAGTTAAAATCATAGAAAGGAAATTGAAAGATGCCATGCAAGAACAGTCGAAGAAAATAACAGAGCTAGAAGATGCCGTTGATGAAATGACAAACCAAACTGAAAAGGAATTTAAGGAACTTGTTGACCACATTGAAACCTTGAAAAACCAACATCTTGATGAACTAGCAGTCGCTCAAAAGAAAGGAAGACAAGAAATGGAACAATGTACCAGAGCACTGAGTGAAGGAATGGATTGTGTGAATTACTGTGTTCAAAATGTAGAAAGAGCCAGGGATACAGAAAATGAAATCGAAATACTAGTTAATTATTGCATGGCAAAGGAGACGGCCTTACAGCTGAGTCAATTTAGTTTTTCAACGAAACACATAAAAATATTAATGAAAAAAGGCCGTATTTTAAAAGATATTAAAGGTTCAAAATCATTATTAGATATAAAATGTTCAGAGTCAAAGAAGAATGTGTTGCTTAATTTAAGTGGGGTGGTATTGCCTCATACCCCTGAACTGAGCATTCAGGAAAAGCAAGTTTTCATATTTACGGGCACTTTTCTCGCTAACAACACTTTTGCAACTCCTGACCACAGCGTCAATGGTAAGTGTTTTATATACGATAGCAAATGGGCTAAAACTAATGTTATTGAAGGTTTAAGCAAGCCGTTTGAAGTGGCACAGAATGCAGACGAACTTTTTGTTACGTGCGAAGGTACAAAATCTATCGAGGTATTTTCTGCAAATAACTTCCAAAAATTGCGAACAATTCCAATGCATGAATCAGTTTACGGCATAAAACTCTGGAATAGAGAGTTTTATGTAGCATGCGCGAAGAAAATCATAAAAACAGATCTTTTTGGGAATAAAATGAAAGAATTTAATACTGAAGGCGTGAATAATATATGCCTTCTTATAACAAACAATGGTCGAATAGTATTCAGTAATTGGGTACTTCATACAGTTACTGCAATATCAGGAGAGGGAGACATTGCTTGGAAGTATGAACATCACAACATGAAAGGGCCATGTGACCTTGATAAAGATAATGTTGGTAATATTGTTGTTGCAGCTAGGGAGAGCAATAATATTCATATATTATCTAGTGCAGGTGATTTCATTAAGGTTTTTAAAAACATTGCACAGCCCATCTTTTTCCGAATTGATGAAGTCCGAAACATTTGCTGTTTGTGTAACAAACATTTGGTTTTAAATGTTTATAAATTGTAAAATAAAAATGTTTGTATTCAAAGGTCTTTGTGCAGAAACTTTCCTGCTTTTGTTGAAAAGATGAAAGGAATACCATATTGAGATTGAAACTGTTTATTTGTACAAACAACGAGAAAAAAAGTTCTTCTTTCCTTTGCGAAACACCGACCGTTGGATGAAGAAAAGTGTCTATTAACTTGATGATAAAAGGATAATGCTTTTATCCTTTTTTTATTATGGGGGACTGACCAAAACATTTAATTATCTTAATACAACAGGCAAATTTGTGACAAGAGTACCCTAGAAGTTCCGATGTCTCAATATAAAACAATGTGTAAAGTCAATCATTAAAGTTCTAGCATTTAAAGATGTACAACTTACACCCCAAAAGACATGTTTTCCTGTCGTTTATTTTCCGTTATTTTGTATATTCTTTTGATGACTATCTATTACATTAATGCACATTTTGGGCAAAATCGTTTGCAAGAGAAACCGGCCATTGTATTGTAAGTGAGAGAGTTAATAGGTTGCAGGTGCCCGATGCAGGCGTTAGAGCCCTGTTTCCCAAAAGTGTCACTTTAGCTTGTTAGAGGAAAGAGAGTAAGAGACTAAGCATGCACGGATTTGATTTATCGTTTGTGATTTCTGCTATCGTTTGTATATTACGTGTGGTAGAGTTTTAAGAGATGAAAGTGAGTATTGGGTTGATTTTTGTGAGGAACTTAGGATTAAGAGATTCGGCATTGGCAAGCCCTGAGAACACGTGGGAGAAAAGAGGAGAATAAGTTTGGAAGTATATAGATAAGAGTGGAAGTTTCATTTAATTGTGAACTTTTTGCATTATTATAAATATTTTACGTGTGTTGTAAATATGTAAATGAACTATGTAAATAAAACAATCGTATTTATAAATCATTGCCAGTGACAGAGAGGACCCCCGCCATAGGTTTATAAAATAGTGATATTTTTATTCATAATGATTACATTTTCAACAGTGAAATACTGTAAAATATCCATTTAATAAAAGAGATATCCTGTCACAGTATGAAAGGATATCAATATGATATTTGAGTTCGTGTGACAAAAATCAGAAGTGCGGGAAAACTCTCGATTTATCTTCCTATAAAGAAGAGTGTTGTAAAATTATTCCTTGGACTGGTATAATATATAGAGAAACAAAATAACCATTCTGATAGAAAATAAAACTGCCAAAGTTCCTCAAATATTTGCTTAAATTCATGTAAATGTACAATGTTTCAATCTCGTATCACTTAGCTATGACGTTTCAACCGCTCAACTAGGCAAATTGAAAAAGGAATAAACAGAAAATTCAATGTTTTGTAGTTGAGTATGGAATTCATTTCACTCGTGAGACAGGATTTTTTTTAATATTTTCACTCGTGCTTCGCACTGGTGAAAATAACAAAAAATCCTGTCCCACTCGTGAAATAAATACCATATTCAACTACAAAACATTGAATATCTTCTATTTATACACTGAACCAAACTTCTAAGTGTTCACCTAACATTTTTTTAAGTTTAGAGAACAAATGCAATCAATAAATAATTCCTTTATTTCTTGGTTAATGATGCATATTTAAGTTCGATGTTGCGTAAATTTCATGTAAGTATCTCTTCAGAATTTTAAGCAAAGTGTCAAGGAAATGATGTACCCTCGAATTGAAAATTCAAACAAAAAATGCCGATGAAATAAGACCCACCACTCGCTCTAATTACTATAAGACAATCTTTATTGTTGGATACCATGTACCCCTAAATAGGAGATTGACCCATCTGCTGCCACACCTACATGTACAGCATAGTTCTTTCCAAACCGTTAAAATTCTGTGCAAAGGGGGGGGTGTACATTTCTTATAAAATCCCAAATGAGTTCAACTGGATTCAGATCTTGGAGTTTCACAGTGCCTCATCACACAGATGCCTTTGGTCAATTTCCCTGGGTGTTTAGCACGTAAGAGTGAGGATAATTCAGACTGTTTGAGCACCGATTTCTTATCATTTTTGTACAATTGAAATGGTTTGTTTTCATGTTTCTAAGATTGTTTCAGGATAAATATATTATTCTCAGTAGTCAGCGAGTGTTAAATATGCGTGGTTCAAAGAAATATCAAGGAATATATACTCAGCAAAAAAAGAAACGCATATTCAGAATAATATGAAAATCTCTAAGTTTTAAGTTTAAACCTTATTTTTTTTAAGTGATTTTAGAGTGTGTTGTGATAAAAATCAAACATGTCCTATGTTGAAAATAGAAAAGTCAAGTTGATGCCATTTTCATCGCCCCCAAATTCAAGGGGCATAGCAATATGTGCTGTGCGACGTCTCAATGCTAGTGAGTTTCCAATGTACGGATATCGTGGAGGAGTACCATCTCTTTTCAGTCTCTTGCGAACAATTTATGCACTTTTATGCTGATTTTTTCATCTAGCAATTGTACCAGCAGTTTTACAGCAAGTTATGAATCGCTTCAGGTGCTGAAGGGGAGGGGGTGTCTGACGGTCCTGCCTGGTTGTGGTTACCTGCGGATGGCCGGATAATGGTATTCAGACGTTAGTTTAACGGTTGCAAAGCCCATTGATTTATTCCAAATACAGTTGCAACTCCCTGTTGCGTAGCCCCATTTAGTATCATCGTTAGCCTGGTTGTGTTCATCTTTGCTTCGGCGTGGCATTGCAGCATCAACACTTCAATCAAATCTTAAATATGGGTTTAATAGGAGTGTTAATAGTTTCTCTAAATCCAAAATATCAATGAAAATAGACATCCGATTAAAAAGAATTCATGAAAATTACTCCTTTCAGAAACATGTTTAATCAAGGGAGATAATTCAACATTTGGGTTTTAAAACCCCATGTTGTCCTTTAAATAGGTCACAGGTATCCAATGATATGAAAAATAATTGTTCCATGTACATTTTAAAAATTTCTTTGACGAGTAAAACAATATGCGTTTCTTTGTTGAGTATATATGGTATTTTATGAATGAGGAAGAGAAAAATACAAAAGAAAATATAGAGAAAAAATATATGAATTTAAAAAGGCGAAACATGGGGGGGGAAATACTCATGTACATGAAATTGTAAAGTATAAGACTTGAATTTTAGAAATTTCGGGAAATCTCCAAGGTCAATGTCAAATTTAATTGCGTCAAATGACGAAGTTACAAACCTCAAAACTACAAAGGCTTCTGTGTGGATTGTAAGGGTTTACCCCTAAGTTGGCGGCCAAGGGACATAACTTTTGAAAGTGTGGATTGGTCTATTCTTTATATCGTTTTCATGCTTTGATTGTAGACTCTTTTTTAAAAAAAACATATACCTCTCAATCCTGACTGATTTCACCAATCACACCAAATTTTAAACTTAAGGTTACGCATAGATTTCTTAACAGTTAATCAAATTGGTCTCCCAAATACGTATTATAAAACCAAGATTGTGGGAATTAAAACTTTCGTTTCAGTAGCGTTTCTGGTTGGTTGTTTATCAATTTTTCTATTTCAATATTCTTATTTCGAAAATGAAATAGATACAATAAGAAGCAAAGATATACGTAATATAAGGAGTGAATTAGAGTCAACGAGAAGCAATTTTGGTAAGGAATTACTTGAGAGTGAATTACAGACAATAAAAGACAATTTTGGAAAGGAAATACGCGATATAAAGAGTGAATTACAGACAACAAAAGACAATTTTGGTAATTTGCGATATTATGAGTATATCAAATATAATAAGAGACGATTCTGGCAAGGAAATACGTTAGACAAAGTGTGAAATAGTAGTAGCAAGGAATAATCTTCAGGATATTATAAACGAAATAAAGAATGACTTTGAAACAACGAGGAACACTTTTGATGAGGTCATGCATGAATTTAGGAACCATTTTGAGGAAGAAACAAATGATAAAATAGGAACTTGAGAAAATCGGAAATAATGCTGTTGAAAAAATCAATAGCATAAAGATTAAAATGGAGACTATCAAAAAAGAAATGGAATCCACTCTTCAAACCACTGCGTATTTTGGATCTTTACTCTCGGTTCAGACAACAAAGGGTCTATTTGTCGACGAGTTGCTGGATGCAGAAGTCCATAAAGGTATGATTGATTATTTTAAGCTTTCATATTTTTAGTGGTTTTAACATGAGCACTGTATATCTATACTCGTGTGGTATAATCCAAACAATGATCAATGATTTTAAAATGTAAACACAACTGCAATGTTGGCATAAGGAATACTAGTCTAAGAAAATATAGTTACATGTAATTCCTTAAAAATTATTTTTAATGAAATTTTAATGATGATTTTTATTAACTTAAGTGTGCAGAGACACATTTCATAATATTACACAAAATACCTAAATCTTTTCGTTTTATAATCATGTCAATTGAATAACAATTATCGTGCTTTTGATACTTTCTTACCCATATTTAAAGAGACAGTGATGACGCACAAAGGGGAAAATTGACAAACGTAGTATCTTTGTATGACTCGAGTGAATGTTCATTTCCTAAAAGTATTTGTTTTCAGAAAATCTCAGGTTTCAGAGCCTAACATATCTATTTTTATGGAAAAAAAAATAAAGTTGAAATAATTTCCATATGCCCCATAACGAAAATTTTGCTTTACTTCTACCCACCCATTGTACGCATGCGAAAAAAAATAATTAATAACTAACCATATTTATAGAATTACCATAACATCTGAGACACTAGACACCTGATCGCTCCGTCAGAATTTCCAAGGGCACGTGTTTATATTCTTTTCACATATTTTATTTGAAGTTTGATAAAACCGATTACTGGTTTCTTTCATTTTTTATCAAAAAGAATTATTAAGCACCCAGGAATCTTTTCTAAAAAATCCTTTTCATCCGCTTATATTTAGATTTTACAGAGTTCAATTTATCATCGCTACATAGAACAACCTACATGTCAAAAAACAAGAAAATTCTCAGCAATATCAACTTTCCATTAGCTGTATCAGGATCAGGGGAAGGAACCCTACAGAGGTACGAAGGAGCTAAAGTTGATAAAATAAATATCGGAGTTAGACGAATTCAGAATGAAATTTATCGTGCGGTACGATATCAAAAAGACTTGCAGAGGATCTGAATTTATATTTGATGTGACATTCTGTGATGAAGAATTTGATATGTTTTATTACGGAGGCTATTTACCGCATTGTTTAAGTATGTTTGCCACATGTGATACAAAATTAGTGTACCTGAAGTTTGAAAATCAACAGTTGTTAAAAGAAAATATATTAATTATCTCCATGGTCTGAGGAAAGTACGTTCACTTTTGGATTTGAAGTCATCGTTAGTGGAGTATACGGTTATGTAACCTTTAATGATCTACTGAGTGGAAGGGAACTTTATACTTTCAACTCAGTTAATTTCTCGGTGCCATTGAGTTCAATGTTTGGTGTCTTTAACCCTGAGATTTCTGAATGTATGATGTTGTTGATTTAGTATTAGGCATAAATGGCGAGGAAGGTATGATATGAAAATATCTTAATTTTCTTGTCTTTAAATGATTGCTTTATCCATGGTTTTAAATCGGATACATTTCCTTCATATTTACATATTTTAGATCAAAAGACTTTACGAGTAATTGTAATATACCATTTAAGTTTTATGAAAAACAAGATTACTTCAATTTTTCATTCGTAAACTTCTCTTACCTATGCAGTTATATACTTTCATCACCTGCAGACGGGGTTTATATCTCTCAGTTGATTCGATTCACAATAGCATGCTCTGCGTATGAACAATTTAATAAATTAGATTACTAATTAATAAATAACTCGATGAAACAAGAAAATCAGCAGTCTCGTTTAAAGTCTTCATAAGTTTTATGGTTGATACAATGTTCTTGTAGGCAAATATAATTCATCATTAAGTCAACCTCCGTATATTTCATCAGAAATTAGAAATTCAAAGAGCAAGAGCCACTTTGGACCTCAGAATTTCTAAAAAGTCAAAACCGCTCAGTTTAGATTGCAAATTCAGTACTCATCACTTGGAGTGCTGGTGCCTATCATTTAAAAGATGAGCTGAAGGCAACAATAAAGTCTTAACCTGAAGAAATAAGCGATTTGAAGAAAGAAACAACTCAGATAACAAGCAATTCAGATGAAAAAATGCATAATACGAGGAATGATTTACAGGCAAAAAGTAAAGATTTGCGTTCTTTTCTTGAAAAAATTGCATATTGTTTTTCGTTACTTTCGGTTCGGACTACAAAATGCTTATTTATTCATGACTTGTGGCAAAGAGAGCTTTATGCATGTATATCGAATTTCAAAAGGCGTCTTAATAATTTTCTTTGAGATTTATTGTCAAACTAGAGGGAATGTACTGTAATAAAACTATTCTAAAACCATTCACAAATTAAGAGGATTGTCCTTAAAAGTCTCTCGAAAAACATAAATGCTACCGATTTCATAGGTTTTTTTTAATACAATGGCGATTTTTTTTTTTGCCATAAATTTCTTGGAGAATTGACGAAGGGGAATCATAAAAAGTACCAGACGTTATGTACTTAAAATACATAGATTAAATAAGAATATAAAAAAGATTTGGTTTTAAAGATAAACGCTTCCTTAAGATAGTTTTTAAATGTTTAAAAATCATCAAAAAATCTTCAGATCCCGCTTAAGCACTTGTAAAAAAATATTGCAATCATGATATACAATAAAGCGTCTCTTCATCAGGCGATCAAGGGTAGTCTAAAGGTGGCTTTGATATGTGCTAAAGGGTGGATTTTAAACCCTTTTAAAGTTATCATTACCGAGTTATCTTTAAAGCCCTCCCCTGCTTTCACGCATTTTAACGCATATATACCATTTCCTACGTAAAACAGACATATGCCGTTTCCCTACAATCACGCATTTTCATGCACTTTTAAAAGTTTATTTAATTTCCACTTTATTGCCATATTCCTTCTATTTTATACTAGTTTGAATCTCATAAAATTAGAAAAGTTATTTTCTTATTAAAATATTACATCATAATATTATTTACGCTTAACGTGAAACAAACTTGTACTGCAGCCCTGTAAAGTGCTTGCATTGTAAAGCTATTGTTAAAGATGAGAACTCTTTTTACGTGATTTTCCAATGTATAAAGAAGTCAGAAAAAATACTCAAGGTTACAAATTGTTAATACCTTATCTTGTTTGCTTAATCCAAATAACTTGGTATCTACAAAACAAATCTTTCTATATATCAGAGACTGTTTTAATATACGAAAAAAGCTTGCTACTATTAAATATTTTGTATTATATGGATGACAACACATTTCATGTATATATGTACTTGAGTGCCAATAAAAAATTGAAAATATATTGTTTTCATGCTTAAAATGAAGATAGGTCCTTTTAAAAAAATTAATATTGTCTCATCCCTTCCGGGTATACATTACACCAAACTTAAAATTCAAGGTTACGCATATACAGGTATGTTTCTGAGCTAAGTGTTTTAAATGCCGAAACTATGGCAAATAGAATTTCAGTTGGCGCATTGCTTATTCTGACAGTTTCAATTTTCTTAGGTCATGTAGGTGTTATAATCAATTATATAGATTCAATGAGAGAAAATTTCAGTAAGGAAATACGTGATACAAGAAGTGAATAAGTGGTAACAAGGACTTATCTTCAGGATGTAACAAACGAAATGAAGAATGAGATGAAATATGAACTTAAGATAATCATGAACGATGCGATGAGAATATACATAACGTGAAAACTAAAATGGAGACTATCAAAAAAGAACTAGAATCCACTATTCAAACCACTGCGTATTTTGGATCTTTACTTTCGATTCAGACAGCAAAGGGTCTAGTTGTAGACGAGTTGCTGGAAAAAGAAATAAATAAAGGTATAATCGATTACTGTAAATCGTTTTAATTCCACGATGTTAAAATTTCACGATATCTCAAAAAGTACCATTTGCGATGGTTTTAATTTCACGCTGCAAGAAATTAATTAAAAATTTCGTATAAGCAATTTAACATTTTTAAAAACTAGTAATAACATTCACGATGGGTTTAATTTCGCGAAAAATTAACAAATCGCGAACATAGCGAAATTAAAACCATCGTGAATATTTGCCAATCTACAGTATTTTCAATTCAGATATTCGAAATGGTTTTAATCCACCAAGAACACTGCACACATTATTTCTGGAATATCCTTATTAGACAGAAATGATCAGTCACTAGGTCGTAGTTTGACTGATATGCATATGTTTCGAACCAATCCTTTATTTTTGTACTTGATTTGAGCAAGGCATTCATTACAGCTATTATGAACTCTCAGCTAGGGCTGCTTACTCCTAGACATCTGACCCCTCCGCCAGAATATCCAAAGGCCCGTGTTAATATTCTTTTAACATACATGTATCAGTTTTGTTTGGCTTTTTTTTCGAAACCGATCACTGGTTTTTTTTTAATTATAAAAATTCTTATTAAGCACCCAAAGGATCTTAATTAAAACTCGTTTTTATCGCCTTGAATTTAGATTCTACAAATTTTAATTTATCATCCCTACGTAGAACAGTCTACATGTCAATAAACAAGAAAATCCTCAGCAATACCAACTTTCCATTAGCGGTGTTAGGATCTGGAAAAAAAATTTTTACAGCCGTACGAGGGAGCTAGAACTGATAAAAGAATAACGGATTTAGAAGGCTTCAGAATGAAATTTATCGTGCGGTACGATATCAGAAAGACATGCAGAGAATCTGAATTTATATGTGATGTGACATTCTGTGATGAAGAATTCGATATGTTTTATTACTGAGGTTATTTACTGCACTGTCTGAGTATGTATGCCACATGTGATGCAAAATATGTGTACTTGAAGTTTGAGAATCAACGATTGTTAAAGGAAACTTTATTATCTCCTTGGTCTGAGGAAAGGACGTTCACGTTTGGATTTGAAGTCATTATAACCTTTAATGATCTACTAAGTGGAAGGGAACTTTTTACGTTCAACTCTGTTAATTTCTCGGTGCCAATGACTCCAATGTTTGGTGTCTTTAACCCTGAGATTGCTGAATGTATGATCATGTTGATTAAGTATTAGCTACATTGGTAAGGATATATAACTATGGAACTATTCTTTTTCTTTTCTTTTAAATTATAGCTGTATTCATGGTTTTAAACAGAAATTAAATTCATTTACAGTACAAAAATGCAATTTAAGGTAACTAATGCCTGTTTTTGTTAATTCTGAATCTGTCTTATTCTTCAACAAACATCATTTTATATTTTATTTCAGTTGCATGACTTTGAAAGATATATTTGGTATATCAGATTTAGTAAACCATGACTTCAAAGAAAGACCAAAACGTGTTAAATGTCAAAGTTACCCGTATTTTGTTTAGACTTCAGTAGAACTTGAAGTTGAAAAACCTTTAGGTGTCTAACATTTTAAAATATATTACTGTATACTTTTTTGGGGACAAAAATGAAGACCTTTTAAACAAAGATAGTTCCGCTCAGGAAAATAAAAAAAAAATTAAGTACCAGAAAACTGCAATACATACATTAATTTAATAAATTTTGTTACTTGCATAGCGAGGACAATAATTCAAATTTTACCATTCTCAGATAAAAAAGTTGTTGTTATAAGCTGTTAAATCAATTGTTTAATTACAAGAGTTTTATTAATTATTGGTGAATAACTCTTCATCATTCATAATAAAAAGATAATAACTTCTAATTGAGTAGATTTTTATTTTTGTCAAGAAGGAGATATAAACCAAAAAATGAAAATGTACTCTCGTGCAACCAAACCTTTAGAATGTTTAGCAGAAGGATCTCTAGTTGAGCCTGTAAAAGATTCAGATAAGGCATTGTCTCGAAACCGCTGCCAGACACCAGTATAAAAAAAGATCACATTTATAAAATTGTTTGGTTACACTATCTTGACAAACTGACTAGAAATGGTCCGATTTAATGGTTTTTTTTATTATCGTTCAAGATAACTATCTTTTTTTCTTTTCATCACATCAACACGTAATTTGAATTTTCTGGAAAGAAGATTCTATTCTCCTACAAAGCGACCAAATAATGTTAACCTGTGTCGAGGGAGGGAAAGCAAACATTATATTATTAAGATTACCTGACTTAAATGATAAAACATGTTAAATAGATAAAGTATCTGATAAGCTTTTAGTATGATTGAAATGAAATATTGACAAATTAATAACAAAATAAATGGGTTAAACAAAATGATGTAGTGAACACCATGTTCCTTGGTGAAAGTGGCCTACTTCAACTGTAAATTAATAAATAAATAATTGAAAAAAGCATTTCACGACATATATCTCAACAACTGTTTTTTTTGACATTATCCTAATTAACTGGTTAAATCTCGTTTAAAAATCAACATGCATTTTCACTTCAAATAATTATTATGATTTTATATTAGTCGACATTTATTATTTAATTTTTCAATGATCAGACTGGTAAAAATTAGATTGATTATGAAAAAAAAAAAACTTAAAGTATTAGTTGCATCTGAATAAACATCTGCTGCCCATTCTCACGTCAAACGCCAAGATAATTTAAGTTTATAGGTAAACCTTTAAATACGAATAACTGGTTCATGTATACAAGTAACCACTCTAAGGCTACATTGCGGGGTTGCAAGTTGATTAAGAGAGATCAGAGATAATGGGTTCAAGAGATCAATATTTAATTTGTTTAGTGATATGGGGAGATAAGGATGAAGTTTTAAATTTAGTGATCAACGTTTATGCCATCATGGATAAAAAAAATATTTAATTTAAAAAAAAAACGTGAACTGGGATATTCGAAAATATTGGATTTATCATAAAATATTTTTGTACCTCTTCTGTTACTCTCTATAAAATGAATAGAATAGAATAGAATTCTATTTTTCTGAAGATGAATTCCTTCCCTCATCTAAAAATATATTCCATGTAAAATTAGAGCTACTAAGTTGGAAAATCATGTTTGCTTTTAATAAATCAAAATGCTCAGTGGACAGAGCGTTTGAGAAATCCCGAATCCGTTACGTTCAGTATTAAGCATTGTAACTATGATATATGATATATCCCGATCATTATTAAATTATTTCCCAAAATTTCGTTCCGAAAAAAGACATTTCAATTCTTAAATCAAGGGAAAGTTGCCATTACTGTATGATTTTACTTGTTTTTTGAACCTTCCGTATTAATAACATACATATTCATGTGCCTATAGGGTACTAAATAGTAATACATCTGTACTTAATTAGAAATTAATTTTTCAAGGCAATC